CAGTTCCACTTTATATAGACCCCAACAGAAAAAGAAGAATTTAAAAGCATGATATGTCTCTTTTAAAAAGAGTTTAGAAAYATTTCTGGTCCTGATTTTCTTGATTATCAACTCATCGTTATGTGAGGTGATGATCACCATCATGTTTCTGATTTTTGGACATTTATTTAGAGTACAAACCTCAGTGCTTGTAAAGACATTTAACTCATTATTTTAATGTGAGCCTGATCTATAGATGGTTCATTATTTTAAAATAATATTCTCTGTGACTGAGCTCAGAAACAAAATATATGGGCAGATAATTCTKTAAAAAGGTGATGTTTTCCTAGTTTGCACATTTATAATATTATGAATTAACCAAATTAACCTAGAGACAAAATAAAGAACTAACACTAACCGCAATATGAGGATTTCTGACAAATTTAATATAAATTTATATTTAAAACTGTATTTCTGTCTGTCGCTTTGTCCACAATTACGAGCAAAAAAAAAAAATCTGGTCGGCCCACAATCTATCTTGGGATAGGGCGGGCTTAGAGGGATACACCAGCCCCATCCCTCAAATTGGGGGAAAATAAGGTCGCATGTRGGCTGAAATTGGAGGAGCCTTTGAATTTGGACAGCTTTCGGCGCATCACTGTGACWTAATCAGCCTTCAGATTCTGCCTTCGAAGGACTCATCCTGAATTTGGACACAGCCTCAGTCCTCTGCCAGTTAATGATGATAAACAGAAAAGTATTACCCTTCACCCATCGTTATAACGGTCTCATCTCATGTAGGGAGTGTCCTGCTGGTGCCCCCCACCCCACCACTGCTGATGTAGTTTTACTTCCTCTGCTTCATTAACTCGTTTGCATGCAGCCTTTGATCCTTTTATTTCCACTAGGTCACTGAATCGCCTTTGGCTTTTAGGTTTTCATATCACAGCCAGCCAGATATTCATCTTCTAAACAGAAACTCTGGCACTGACCCTCGTGCTGATTAAGTCATGCCAAAGAAGCTCTGCGGTACAAACAAGTAAACACTACGTGAGTCTTCTGCAGTTGACTTGGTTCTTTGATATTTTTAAAAAAAATTTAATCATGTTACCAACAACTCCAGCTCTCTTGTTTTATGAGTTTGTAGTAAACCTCTCCGACAAACATCCTTATGCAGTTTGCTGGGTTTCAGTTGTTAAGTTTTTTGTCAACATTTTGAGGAAGAGTAGAAGGAGAAAAGAAGTAGTGTAGCATGTCTAAGCTGTGATTTTTAGCAGTTCTCATTGTAGCTGAAAGACTGGAGGACTGAATTAAACGGTTCGTGCTCAGATAAGAAAATCCTCAGCAGAGAAGTGCTACCATCACTTGAGTCGCGGTTTCTCGTGAATAAATGAGTGTTTGAAACCCTTCAATGGAGTTCAGGCTTCAGATTCATTCAGACGCCCAACCTTTCAGTCAAGTTTTGTTTATTTTGTGCTTTGATTCATGTCTTTCTCTCAGCCCTGCTGATCTACTGGGTGCTCGCCTTTATCATGAAGACCATCAAGTTTGCCAAGTACACAGAACACGGCATCGGCCCCGGGCAGCTTCGCTTCTGCATCACAGGACTGCTGGTGCTGCTGTACGGACTTCTACTGGCTGTGGAGATTAATGTCATCCTGGGCAGGGTGAGTGTGACTTCCTTCAATCAGGAATCAAAAAGAAAAAAAATAAGTAGGTCCTCTGGATGGGTTCTTCTTTAGTGAAACATTTCGTCTCTCGTCCAAGAGACTTCTTCAGTCTGATGAGATTCAAGTGAACTCAGCCTTATAAGCACCGCCTCCACATGGTGGACAAACAGGTTAGTCACATACAAAAGAGGGCCATCGCCTAACAATAGGTTTGATTAGCTCTATGGTTCATAGAGGGTCATGTGCCCCATCACCTGACTTATTGGTTTGGATGCTTCGGCTGTGGTTATTTGGTGTTTTGTTATGTGTATGTAGTGAATGCAAGCGGGGGTTCAACGTCCCTTTGTTTTTGTCTCTCTTTCCCTCTTTGTGTTGGGYATCATTGRGGCCCTGAYTMACACCTTTTGCTCACAGGGGGCTGAGTCATACTTKCAWTGACAGCGTTGTAGGAGGAGGACGACTGGACACGAAGGCCTCCACCTCTGTTTAATGGTGGACATTTTTTCTTCACAAAAATGGCTTCTTTTACTCCTCTCTCAAACCAACGTTCCTCTCTATCAAGGATGAGAACATCTTCCTCCCTGAAAGAGTGACCGCTGGCCTGTAGATGAGTGTAAACTGCAGAGTTCTGACCTGTAGATGAGTGTAAACTGCAGAGTCCTGGCCTGTAGATGAGTGTAAACTGCAGAGTTCTGACCCGACGAAGTAGCGCGTCTGTGCTGGTTCATTCTTTTGAACAGTGGTTGCTTTGTTTCCCCAATGTATGACTGATCACAGTCCTGACACTTAACAGCATACACTTTATTACTTTGTTTTTGCCAGGGAACTGGATCTTTGGGGTGAACTAATCTTTGTCGTAACGTGTTTTGGGGTTTGAAAGCCACTGGGACGCCATGTTTAGAGAATAAACGTCTCATTTTCTCTGAAACTCCCGCCACATACGGAATAACGACTGGTTTGGGTCAGGGTTTAGGGTCTTCATTTTCACCATACTTCATACTCATACTTCAACTTCATATTCAGTCAGGAATGTTTTGATCAGGGAGGCAGCCCACAGTGAGCTGAAACGAATTTGGATGCAGTGATGCTGCTGTTATTCTACTCATATAATGCTCATATAGCTGTTACTGAAAAAGAATGACCCAAACAAGCTAAAAGAGGCAAATCAAGARTCTGCAGTCAGGCCAGCTGCTGTTTCAGAATGAGGAGAGGCTAAAAGATAAAATTCTCAAAATGTCAAACTCAAACCTCATTTCATTTAGCCTATAGCAGCGCTCCTGTTATTGTTTTTTTTTTTTTTTTGTTATTATTATTATTGTGACTTTGGAGCCCAAGAGTGGACATGTTGGGATTTTTTTTCTTTTGCATTCCCACACTACACTATTGCGTTACCTCACAATACTTTCTACATCCCCTCTTGAGGGCCGTTTATTACTGTTGTGCCTGCTGGTTTATTAACAAATTCTCTCACTCACCATTATACAGGAGTTAGCGTACTACTTTGATTCAACTTCAGACTGAACATAGCTACGCATGTGATATGTAGGTTTTAAATCTATGCAGCCACGCAATATCATCGTCAATTTCCTGAACTTGTGGCGACACATCCTGTTTTGGTAACCAGATAATTCAAAAATAAAAGTCTGATTTAATACAGTTAATGCAAAACATTAAGCTTTTGTGAAGGAATGCAAAAGAAAATAAAAATCTTTCAATGTCACGTCGCTGTCTCTGTACAGACTTAATAATAATAATTTCCTAACTGATTCCAGTTTTGTGTTTGAATTAATCACCATATAGTGCCCTTAACCATGAGTCAGCCATTTTGTAGCAGTGTTTAAACCAACTCATCTTATGGTGCAACAAACGTAGTACTGAGGTTGTWTATACATTGGTGGAAATAGACCATAATGCATTGTGACCTGAGCAGATTAATAGTTAATTTTATTGTCCACATTGTGACTTTCAGACTTTGCACAGTCTGACACAAAGCGACAAGTAATACAGAAACTCAGTTTACTTCATTAATTTCCCTTTGGAAATATCTCCTTCCCCTGTAATTTCCCTTTGGGATCAATAAAGTACTTTTGAAGTGAACTGAATTATTTGGAATTATTCACAGCAAAGTTCATCTTAGGTCAGTGTGTATAAAAATAGGTCCAATTCAAATCCAGTTACATGCYGTCCAACTCAGTCTAATCTGCATCTGCAAAGCAGAAATTACTTTTTATGTTCTATACTAAGCTTAAAAAGAGTTTATTTATCTGTATTTAATCATAAAACAAAGTTTTTTTTAAGGAGATAAAAATGATCAAACCATTATGACCTCAGGCACTATCCAGAAGACAGATATCTCTATAAAATGTTCAAATTTCTCAAGGAATAAAAACAGAAGAAGAGTCAAAAAGGTTAAAGCTCAACTCAAAGTTAAACCCATGAAGACAAAGATCACAACCTTTGGGCTTTATTTACCACAACAAGGGCTTCCTCTGACATCTGGCTCAGTTCAAAGCCCCGCCACACATGAATGAGTCCGAAATGTTTCTGCTGCTGTTTTATTGATCGCACAACAAGGCCATCAAACTTTAATCCTGGGATTATTCATTTCATGACATTTACAGCCGCCCGACTCTTCCCGAACACAAAAGGAGAAAATGCCAGAGGAGTGTACGCTCGTCCGTCTCTTTCCTCAGGACACTTCAGACTGTGTTTATCTCTGTTAACCTCTGAACAGAGCACGCATCTGTTACTGCGCCGGACTCCCCTGGGAAATTTTCCCATCATGCCCTGYACTCAGCCTGTTGCAGCTGCATGTTTTAATCAGCCTCGTCGTGGGGATTTGAATGTTGCTGCATTTGTGATCAGTAATTGATGTGCAATTATCCAAATTAAATATTAACTCAAGTTATTAAATGCTTCCATCTCATAGTTTTTATTCTGCTTAGGACTTACATCGTAAAACTAAAAATGTTACTTTGCTAAAATCCATAGAAATAAGTAACATTTATTTATGTTCTGGTCTTTTTTGAAACAAAACAATCACAAATATTCACATACTTGTAAATAGTCCAGGATATGTCAGTAAATTCTAAAGAGACGCCACATTTACTCATCTGTTTTTCCACTTTTTAAGMTTTCACTTAGTCCAAAACAGGGTCCAGTCCTGGTTCCTGAGGGTCACTATCCCACATGCAGGGGTGGAGCTAAGCTTTTTTGCAGGGGGTGGCACAGGCGTGGATAGATGTGTTTTAGAGGGCACTTACAAATAAAGAAAAGCATTCTAGATTTAAATAATTCAAGATGGCCRCCACAGTTTTTTTTCAAATGACTTTAATACAGCTGTTTTAAAAAAATATTGAGCTGAAGTTTTGTGTGATCTTAGCAAAGAATGATCCAAACCACATGCTGAATGTTACTTAGTATTTAGCAAATCTCTGACATACAAAACTGAACATTAGTACAGAAGCAGCCAAAAACAATTTTTTACCACACTTTAAATTCTAATAATAAATTCAAGATGGCCACCACAGCTGACCATTAAAAAAATTGTTAAGAAGGAAAGCTGCTATAATTTGAAGGGATTACAAATGTTTGTTAAACCGAAAATCAGAACAAATTTGAAGGACAGATGCTCTTCAGTAAAAGTTACAAGACTATGGAATAATCTGAAAAATGATTATAAAAGCATTGGATCAAATAATTCCTTTAAAAAATGATCAAAGCAAAATTGTTCAACAAATATAAAATTGATTAATTTGTATTTGAATGAGTTACTGTT